CATCCGAGACCCCAAACTTGGCCTCGAGTGCGTCCCACATATCTTTTCCATTGTCAATTGACGCATAAGCATCAACTATGTTCTCACCAAGAACACTCAAGAGAGCAGCCTTAAACAAGGTATCCATTTTCTGAAAAGCTTGTGCCTGTTGGGCATCTTGCTCTCCTTCAGGTTTGCCAAGAGTGGCGTCATAGCAGCTCATGGTTTGAAACCATAAGACTGCTCTCACGCGCCACCTCTTATAGTGGATACCCTCAAACATAGGAGGTCTCATGGAAGCAGGAAAACCATTCGAGGTAAATTGCCTATGATAAGGTTTTTGGATTGTTGGAAATATGAGGAATTTACCGAATGATTTTATTAACAGAAATAGTTGATAAAACATGGCTAGTATAGCAGTGATAAAATAAGCCATGCGATTTGACAAAGAGAAGGTAAACAGCATGTTCATATATGAACCTGAGATAAACACATCTAGAACAGACACTAGATGAAGTTGCTTATACGACATAGAACCTAACATAAGTAGGGCAGAAACTAGAGCCAAGAACTGTAGCAGGACTTCTAACAGAAAGGAGAAGAACATGTACGGCACAGCAGTAGCAGAAGCGCTGGACTTGGGGTCGGTGTCCTCTCCTGCCATGTCGTTGAGGAGGTCGTCGACGTCGGGGAAGTAGTCGTCGTCGGGGAAGTAGTCATCGGAGTCTGGGGCGTCCGTGACGAAGAAGCCAGTAGTCGCGCAGGGCGCTCCCCAAAAACCTTATCACCCTTCTCCCATACAGGACTCAAAAGGTGCGGTTTCGGAGGCCTACTGTCCCGACTCGCGGTGCACGCCGCAAGCCGGGATGAGGAAGACAGCAGCGGTGCAGAGATTGGAATTGTGTGGCGAGAGGAAGAGGACCTTCTGATGTGTCTCTCTAGAGAGGAGCGACCTCTTTTATATAGGCACAGGAGAGGGACGCGAATAGGCTGCGACGGGAGGTGAAGCAACAGAGGAAGACGAAGTGAACAGGCAGCACGCGAAGAGGTGTGTCGTTCGTATTCATTATCCACTACCGCAAAAAGTTTTCAGCTCCCAAGTGACCTTTCGTTTACCCGTAGTGCGCGGCAAAAATTAGACATCGGCTCGGCTCATTCCCGCAACCCGCACCCCACGTCGCGTCGAGGAATGGCGGGTGGCAGAGGTGGAGCGTGCATGGATGTCCCTCTTATTCTCATGCTCATACAAGTAGGGAAAGAACCTTCCTTATAAGGAGGTCCAACTCTCACTAAACTAGCAATGTGAGACTAAACTTTAGTAGTATCCCTTGCCTTGCACAAATGGGCTGAGTGGGCCTCTAGAATTTATTAGAAATTTCTGTAATAGTTATTGGACTGCCCAAAATAGACTAAATTCCAGCACACACGGCCGCACGAGAGGAGGAAAGAAAACCAAAGCACACATCTCCCTTGCCCCACGACCGTCTGGCACACGATGCACCAACCTTGATCGGTACGTACATGCATGCATACGACAAGTCACTTACGTACAAAGACCCATAGAACCAGCAAGACACGCTACACTGCTCGCACTGCTACTTGACTAGCCCGTGCAGCCCGTAGGTGCGTGCGCACTGCAGTAGGAGTAGAAATGAGCGAGGCACGTCGAACGTACAGTACACCGGCATGCCAGTGGGTGGCTCTCTCGCCCCATTCGCACGCCGCGCTCAGTTCGAACTGAGGCCAACTCCACCGCATGATCCAAACGGACGTCCGGTTTGACCGGATTTTGTCTCCTTGGGGCGTCGATGGGTTCGCCGGTGTCCGACCTTTTCCGTTGGGTTGTGCGTGCGCCCACCGCGCGGTCGTACCCCAAATCACGTCCGCGTTGAACATGATTAAAAAAACAAGAAAACAAAAATAAAATGACTAATAAATAAATAAGCGCAGTTTAATAAACATAAACTTAGTTAAGGGGGTCACAGCCACAAAACGCCCAGTTTAGCAGTTCATACAGTGCCATAATGAACATAAAAAAACGCCGCCGCGCGCTCCAGCCGCGCCTGTCGATGCCATGGCCCTCGCCGTATTCATCACTGGCCGTCGGTGTCGTCCTCATCGCTGACGAGGTCGACGTAGGCCGGCGGCGTCCGGAGGTGGGGCGGCGGCGCGTGGTACACGGGGGCGGCCTGGAAGGCCGAAGGTGCCTGCACCACCTCCTCCCGTGGCGAGGCCTCCCGCTCCGGTGACCGCGGCGGAGTGGCGCACCAGTTCACGCCCGCGGCCATCTCCGGAGCAGTGCAGGACCAACCCCACCCTGGCCCAGCAGCTCCTGGAACGCGGCCACCGGCTCCTCCTCCATCGCCTCCTCCCTCCTCTCCTCCTTCGTGATGGACGCCATCTGCAGCTCCGGGAAGGCGACGTCGCTGGCGGCAGAGAGTGCCATGGCCTCCTCCAAGCCGTCCCATTGACGCTTGTCGTGCGTGGTCATGGAGTCCTCCATGACACGCTGCATGAGACGGGCCTCCTCCTCCGCTGTCATGCGAGGAGTTGGAGGTGGCGATGGAGACGGGGAAGGTGACGGCGTGGGCGTGAGGCCGCGCACCCGCGTACGCCCGCGCGCCTCTACACGTGGCCGCCGCGGCCCCGGCAACGTGCCGGCGAAGTACGACGCACGGCGCATGTCGTGCTCGTCTTGGAGCCATGTGTCCCACAGTTGGGAGTCGGGGACGTACCTGTCGTCGTAGAACAGGTCGTCGGGGAGGAGGCGATGGCGGCGCTCGATGCTCATCGCTGCGCACACGGTCGCCCACGGGCACCGGCGGGATCGGGACCCGGTCGGCGCTGAGGTGCCATCCGTTGGGGAGGTGGACGTCGCTCCACGGGACCGGCGTCCTCATCTCCCAGTACCTCTGGCACACGTCCGTGCAGAGGTACTACCGGTCGCGCTCGCCGGCGGGCCTAGGGGCAATGGTGAAGGGGGCCAGCGCGGGGGCTCGATGGGAGGAGCGCGGCGGTGACACGGGCTCCTCCTTCTTCACGGAGCCGCGACGGCGGCCCGAGGAGGAGCCGGCCCCGCGGTCATGCTTCCTCTTGCGGCCGTAGTTCCAAAGCCCATGGCTGCGGCCGGCCGGTGAGTTCGAGGATGGGGAGCGGCTAGGGTTTGGTCGTGTCGGCTTTCGAGGGGGCAGAGAGGGGCCGGAGTGGGGAAGTGGAGATGAGGATGACGACCGGTCCACGGGTCCCATTTAAGAGGGACGGCGACCGTTCGATGGCCGGATGACAGGTGGGGCCACCCGCCCGTGCGCATTTATGTTGGTAGATGGGAGGTAGGTGGCCACCTGCCATGCAGCCCCAACACGGACGAGCGCGCGTCTGTTTGCCGTCCGACACGACCCAAACCAAGCGCAAGTTTGCGCTCGAAATGGGTCGGCCCGGACACAAAACGGACAAGATGGGTCCGGGTCGTCGCGCGCTGGGCCGCCTGGTTTGTCCCTTTTACCCCAAACGGACGGGACCGGAGGGTCGCGCGTTGGAGTTGGCCTGAGCTCCAGTGCGCACTGTAATAAAAATAGAAAAAGTAGAACGAACTTCTTACGGCGGTGCGAAATGGCGAAATGGTCCACGTGAAAGAGAAACGGCCTTGAGGGTGTAGACTTCAACTGTTGGTTGGTCGAGCCTCGAGGGTGTACAAAATCAAGGCACATGACCTAGATAACTGAATCCTTCTGGAGAATCCTCCGGTGCTATGTGGTGCGCCTACCATGCAGTGGCTAGCACCGTTGTGAAGGCGCCCGTGCCACTGAAAATCAAGATCTTCCTATGGCAGTTGCTTCGTGACCGGTTGCCCTCTCGGACAGAGGTGATAAAGCGACACGGTCCGGGCGATGGCCTTTGCCCCCTTTGTGGTATCCCGGAGACGGGAACCCACATCCTGTTCTCTTGTGTGGCCGCACGAGCTCTTTGGTCCTTTTCCCGCGAGGCTTTAGGGCCTGACTGGGAGGCCTTGGACTTGGCAGAATTTCTGCAATCCAGGGCCACCCAGGCTGGCCGCAAGCGCCGCCTATTTTGGCTTATGTTTGCGGTGTTGATGTGGACCTTGTGGACCACACGCAATAAAATGCTGATTGAACGGATCTTCCCGTGACGGGCCTCTGACTCTTTATTTAAATTTCTTGCCTTCTTGCAGCACTGGCACCCGCTTGCTAGGCGGCGAGATCGTGACCGTGTGGGGCTCGTGATGGATGCGCTTCTAGCGACTGCGTGGCGTCTTTCTGTTCTATAGGGATGCTGTTAGCTTGCCATACTTGGTGGATTTTTCTCTTTTCTTTTTTGCTTCTTGGGTGTGATTGTGTTGTTGCCCCAGCCGTCTTATTCGCTTTGGTGACTGGTACTTGATTGTATGGATGTTTACTTTATTTATAACACGGGGCGAAAGCCTATTTTGAGAGATAACTGAATCCTTGTATGCCATGCCATCAACTGCAGCCGTTCCCAATAATTGGTACCTCAAGGTTGTCTACAAAGGACTGCACTAGATTAGCATTGTCATGTACATCTTCTTAGCCCGTTTACTTCACACCTTGTTGGCTTGTTCCGACACCACATACTCCCATCATATCAATCAAACCCGTAACTAAAATGACTGTAAATATAGAACTATTCTTCCACAATAGCTATGTGTAAATCAGCTGAACTTATAATTTGATGCACCTATCTCAAGGCAATTTTAGGTTCTGATAGCCTCTCCCATGGTTATGGTTGATAAAACTATTTTCCCTATCTTTCCCCATTAATAAAGCACGGATTGAGTCTGTCGGGTTCACCGTTGCGGCCTTTTTACACAAAGGTCCATGTGGTTTTTAGAAATTAAACCCGTCATCCCTTCTTAAGTGAAACTGGAAAACGCTTCGTTAAAAAACACTGGATCTGTAAGAATTCCACCCGTGATCCGTCCTATTTATCCCTTTCTGTCCTCCTCCACCGGGCACCACCCCTATCACTCCGAACCCTGCACCAGGATGGCAGCGCTGACGATCTACTCCGGCGAGGTGTGGGCAGAGCTGCGCTTGGTGGACGCGCGCGACGTGCCCCACACCCACAACCTTATCCACCAGATGGCGGAGTTCGAGCTCCTCACCGACCTCTTCGCCGCCACCCACGAGCTCCTCGCGTCCACGCTCTTCTGCACGCCCGAGACCGCCCCTTCACCTCCTTCACCGCCCTCATCCTCGACCTCTCCACGTCCTCTGTCCCGGCCTCATCGGACACCGTCAGCTCCCGCAGCCTCGGCCTCTCCGCGTCCCCGCTCGCCAAACTGGAGGGGTCGCCTTTCCATTGACGCGCGGCGGCGGGCGCGTCACGGTCGGGTTCGTCATCTGCTTCCCCAACTACTCCACCATCCTCGCAAGGCCCGAGCTATACGTGGAGGACATCTTCGTGCGCGCGCCCTTGCGCCGCCGCGGGCTGCGCCGCACGATTTCATTCACCGTCGTCGGCAGGGCCGCGTGGAGTGGTGTGTGCTCGATTGGAACCAGAACACCATGGACTTCTACGAGGTGATGGGCGTTGAGATGTTCAAGCAGTGGCGCATCTGCCGGCTCAATGGCGCCGCGCTCGACAAGTACAAGGCACGGGCAACCAGGAGGATGAGGACGCCGGCGGGAAGGCCTAGTCACTACTGGAATCCACTTCTTTGCCATCCGCCATGGCAGACGGCAAAGGCATGGATCATGGATGGCAAACTTCTTTGCCGTCCACTAGCAGACGGCAAACTGTCCGTCTGAACACGTGCCAGCAAAGGCCTTCATTGCCGTCCGCTTCCTGGAAACAGACAGCAAAGGATTGTGTCGTCCGCCGTTGGTGGCCAGCAGACGGCAACGATTATGGATGGCAGTGAGGTGGGGTGAGAGCCGTTAGGGGTTAACGGCGTGCTTTGCCGTCAGCCAGCGGACGGAAAAAGGGGCTAAGGTCTTTACCGTCCGCTGGCAAACGGCAAAGTGCTCAAACATGCCAGTCCCAGGAATCACAGGTAGCTGCCACGTGGCATGTTTGCCGTCAGCTAGCTGACGGCAAAGAGCCTGTACAACCCTGTTTTTAATTTAATTCATTCAATTTGCAGCAATTCACAGATATACATATATACACAACAAGCATATCCAACACACAAGTTTCATCATATATACATACATAACCAACACATATATAGTTTCATCCTTACATATTACAAAAGTTTCACATTGTTCATCCAACACCGTTATCCATCCATCCATATAACAAGTTCCAACCATGCAAGTTCATTGATACAAAATAAAAGCACAAATGGAAAAGAAGCACTCCATCCATGCAAGCTTCCGTGAATTAAATCAAATCTGCAAAATGATAAACAAGATGTTAGAAGAAGATGATGAAAATGAAGAAGAAGAAGACTATAAGAAGTAAGCATACTTAAGTAAAATGGAGCTAACCTAGGAGAAGAAGAAGAAGAAAAGAAGAAGAAGAAGAAGAAGAAGAAGAAGAAGAAGACTAGAAAAGTACTAGAAGAAGACTAGAAGAATAAGAAGAAGAAGAAGAAGACTATAAGCTTATTATGTAAACTTGGTCATTTTGTGCTAACATCAGTAATTTTGGAGTTAACCTATAGGAAACTAAGTATATTAGAGCTAACTTATGTCATTTTGGAGAAGAAGAAGAAGAAGAAGAAGAAGAAGAAGAAGAAGAAGAAGAAGAAGAAGAAGACTATAAGCTTATTATGTAAACTTGGTCATTTTGTGCTAACATAAGTAATTTTGGAGCTAACCTATAGGAAACTAAGCATATTAGAGATAACTTAGCATATTAGAGCCAACTTAGGTAAAATGGAGCCAACCTAGCTAATTATGCCATCTTTGTGTGAACTAAGAATATTAGAGCTAAGTTAGAGCTAACTTATGTTATTTTGGAGAAGAAGAAGAAGAAGAAGAAGAAGAAGAAGAAGAAGAAGAAGAAGAAGAAGAAGAAGAAGACTATAAGGTTATTATGTAAACTTGGTCATTTTGTGCTAACATAAGTAATTTTGGAGCTAACCTATAGGAAACTAAGCATAGTAGAGATAACTTAGCATATTATAGCTAACATATGTAACTAAGCATATTAGAGCTAACATAGGTAACTAAGCATATTAGAGCTAACTTATGTCATTTCGGAGGAAACAAAGCTAAGTATATATAGATCATTTTGGAGATCTGACATACCTGACATAGTTCAATTCTCATTGTTCTTCTCCTTCTCCTTCCTCAGCCTGATGCGCCAAGAGCGGAGAGGCGGTGGAGGCAGTGGGATGTAATCTTCTACCACAATTGGTGTGGTCATGTCGCCCAGCTGTGGGATCGCCGGCGCCACCACCGGCGCGAGGTCATTCTCAGGCACCACCACCATCGCGAGGCCATCTTCAGGCAGGACAGGCACAACCATCGCTAGGTCATCCTCAGCCACCACCAACTCTTGCCCATGGTCAGCCACCACCATCTCTTGCCCTTGGTCAGCCACCACCATCGCTAGGTCATCCTCACCCTGATGCCCACTCTGCTCCTCTTCTTCCCCACTCCGATCTGGATCATCCTCCTTGCTATCTTTGCTGCAGCCAGAATCACTGCTGCTTTTGCTACAGCCAGAATCGTTGTTGCTTTCGCTACAGCCAGAATCGCTGCTGCTTTGGCTGCAGCCAGTGTCGCTGCTGCTGCTCCCATTGCCTGTCCAAATGCAACAATGATCATTAACAATCGATGTGAGACAAAGCCAAATGTAGAGGAATAAGAAGAGGCAGAACGTACTGGCATCATCGTCGTCAGTGTAGCGCATGCGACACATAGTCGCATTGAACACCTTCACGATGAGCATGGCGGTGGCGGCGTCGTACCTGAAGAAAAGGAAGTACCCCAGCCGCAGGTCATAGGCACGGTAGAACTTCTCCCAGCCACGACACAGGTACATGTGGCCCTCCTTGATCACCAACTCCACGTCCCACAGCCTGCGAAACCCGCTGCCGGCCTGTCGCAGCTTCACATTATTTGGCGGATCTTCACCCGGCATGTTCATAAAAGTGCCAGGCAGCCTCTGCAGTTTGGGACAATGAGTGATGTAGCAAACAACAAAGTTATCATAATGAGATGAGTGAAGGGGAGATCTCTCCTTTTATATACCTTCCTCATGGATGATACTGCAGTCCCAAGTATGATACTGAAGAACTCAGAAGCATTCAACTCGTACTCCGGCGTGGCAGAGCGGAGTCTGCGGCGGCGGCTTCCCCCCATCTCTGATAAGCAGCAGAAGAGACCAATTAGTACCCTTACAACATTATCATACAACATTATAACATAAGAAATTTTGAGCAGAAGATAATCAACTACACCAAGTTATCATTTCTCATTCAAAAAACAATGCACTTGTGGACATATGATGGCTCTAGTTGAATTTATTAGTAGCACTAGTCGTCAAAAATGTTGACTTTGGTTGAATTTCATATAATAACGATTTTAACTTCTTTGTGTCCGCAAACTAGGCAACTAGCTAGCAGTATAAAAACATTCAACTAAAGAAAAGAAAGAAACTGCAAAACATGGCGGAACCCTAAATAAGAAAGTATAAAAACATGTCTTTTTCTTCTTCTTCCCCTTTTCTTCTTCTTCCTTTTCTTCTTCTTCTTCTTCTTCTTCTTCTTCTTCTTCTTCTTCTTCTTCTCCTCTTATTCTTCCTTTCCCTTTCCCTCTTCTTCTCCCTTTCCCTCTTCTTCTTCCTTTCCCTTTTTTCTTTTTCCTTTTTTTCCTTCTTCTTTTCTAATATGTAAACTATCTAAAACTATTTATTATCAAAAACTATATCTAATATCTAAAACAGAAAAGAAAAAAACAAAAGGGGGGTGTGTAAGTGGAAGAGGGGGCTCACCGTGGGGAGGTGGAAGAGGTTGGTCGGCGACAGGGAGGGGCGGCGACGGGGCGGGAGGGGGCCGGCGGCG